GTATTTCCCTGTGCTGTGTGATAATCTTATTTATCTGTTCTGTATATTCCTGTCAGTACCTACAATAAAGGCTGTTTATTTTATTCACAGAGGACATCATCCCATCAGAAAGCAGCTCCTTGTCCGACACTGCCACCTATGATGATCGTGAGTAGCTCCCCCTTTTCAGTTCAAAATATATATATTCTGAAATATTAAGAATTTTATCTTTAGTTACATAAAAGGAACTAAAGAGAGCTAAAGAGAAGTAGAATCAGCCAACTTACGTTTATGCAGAGTGTTGAGAAAGGGGGGTTATGACTGACTTCTACACAAGTTAGCTCAGCATCAAATAACAGTACCGCACAACTCACATGACTTTAGGGAATCAGAATACCGTTCACACAAGTAAGTATCTCAGTTAGGATTTGTGATGCTCTGTAGGAGTTTTTTGTTTTTTGGTTTTTGTTTTTTTTTTAATTTTTGAAGTACATATAGACTCACAGGGAGTTTCTTAAGTAATATAGAGTCCTTCACCCAGCTTTCTCCAAAGGTAACATCTTGTATATTTGGATCCAATATCAAAAAAGACCAGGAAATCAGTGCCGTGTAGGCTACGCTGGACCACCAGGAAACAGGGTAGACTTTAATTATCACTGTCTGCTTATTCTGGATAAGTGGGAGTTTATTTTCCTTAAGAAGACATACTTATTTCAGAAGTTGGATTACACGTCACTGTGTCGGTTTCATGGCGTTTGGCTGCATCTATTGTAATGACGTGTGTTTAACACCTTTCACAATGGAGTGGATGTCACATCAAGTGACAGAGGGTTTCCCTGTAATATCTTCCTTGCGCTTAAGCAGAGGGGCTGCCTATCTACTTGATGTGATTTAAAGAATTCGAGGAGGCCACTAGCCGCCTTCGGCTTTATCTTCCCCCAAGTTGAATGATTCATGAAAGTCTGAACCATTTCACAATTCTTCCTTCAAGCTGAGGTTTGGTCCTGTTTGCCATTCCTCTTCGGAAATACACATATCAGTGGGAGACAAGTCAAGTCTCCAATGACTCGCCATAAATCAGTTTTACCCCTTTCAACAAAGGGACGAACCTTTGGTCAGCCAAGGAGGTCTAAGAACCTTGAAAGTGAATTGGAACAAAACTGATCCAGGCCAACTTTGCAGGCCAACTTCCTCTTGGCATTTTTCACACTGGGGTTTTTCTGTAATGTAAGTCTAGAAAAGCTGTATTATCATCCATTCCACTCAAGAGATTTATTTGCTCAGAGTGGCACCGTTGAATTGGTAATAGTTGGGACAGGCCCCACAAAAATATTTAGTAGTTTCTTTCTTCTGTTGTGTAAAATATAAAAAAAAAATTTCTTGAAACTTAGGTACTTTTAAAAACATCAGCTTTGGAAGAACACTTTGCTCACCAGACAGATCTTCCACTTTTTTTTCGGGGTGGTTTTGGCAAGGTATTTGTTTCTTTTTTTATTTATCTACTTACTCACTCGTTCATTCATTTGCTTATTATAGCCAACGACACCTTCAGTCTTGCTGGGCAGCGATCAAGTTCAGTACCTCACTCTCCAAGAATTCTCCCCCCCAAGTCTCTCGGGATTGAGCGAATCCACTTCAGAAAGTCGTCCATCAATGAGCAGTTTGTGGATACCAGACAGTCCAGGTGAGAAGACATCAGTGCGGTGAATGCCTCGTTGCCACTATGAGATCTTTTCTCCAAAAGAGTCGACCCAGTTTTGTGTTCTCCTATGTATTCTTTCAGAAAGGGTTATCTTATGAAACCAAAGCACAGAAACTAACCCAGTTATTTGTGTTGACAGCAAGTTGATGTGTTGTCAAGAGATCTTAAAAGTATTTGGCTCTTCCTTTGATTTTAAAGTCTATTTGATTTATATTAAATTACAGGAACACTAATTATCATCTGAATTTGAGGATAGTGTCCCAAGTTCAGTTTCATATCCCATGGCCTCAGGAAACTGTGTTTAAATACCTCTCTGCCAAACTAAGTGACAGAACTGACTTCTGACTTTTCAAATGAAAATGGAACTTCAGCACATTTTTTAATCTGTGAAGTAGATAATACAACTTCTTCTCAACTGTCTCAAGTAAATGTTGTCAGGGCAATAACTTTTTAAAAGATGACAGACCAGTGATTCCCAGAATTTGGCTATGTGGATCAATAATCTTTTTTTTTCTTTTTTTTAAATAGGGCCCAAGATAGGATTATGGACTTTTTTACCTTGCCTAATCAGAATGTTCAAATAGTCTATGATTTCATGAAAAAAATGACATTTACCTATCCAAAATATAGCCATTGTTGTAATAATTATAAGATGATGAAATGAACATTTATAGAGCACTTTCTATGTGCCAGGCACTGTTGAAAGTGTTTCAATATGTATTAACAAATTTAATCCTCACAGCAATCCTGATTGTATTACTACCCCCATTACCATTTACAGATAAGTACACCGAGGACCAAAAAGTATGAATAACTTGTTGGGTTTGTCAACTAGTGAATATTGCAATTGGGATTTGAACCTCGGTAGCCTGACTTCAAAGTCTGTGATGTGATATTAGCCAGCATGTTATATTACATCTCAGGGAGGATGGAAATTAGTCTCAAAATAAAGGAAGATTATTTAGATTAAACAATTTTTCACTTATGGATAGAAAACTAACATTTTGTTACATTTCTAGTTCATTAAGCATCAGTGAAAACTTTTCTCTTAGAGTAGCCCCAGTCTGGATTAGCTTTTAAGAACTGTTGCCTTAAACAGTAGAGATCCATGTGCCCAGAGCAATGCTGTCCGGTTTAATTACCAGTAAATAAAATTTAGAATTCAGTTCCTCAGTCACACCAGCCACACTGCAAGCGCTAATGGACACATGTGGCTAGTGGCTATGACATTGGGCAGCACACGTATTTCCCGTTTCCAGCAATGAAGAGAGTCCTCTCAGTTAGCACTGGACAAGTGTGTTCATTATGTTGGGGAAAACAAAGCCATTTCAGCAAAAGGAATTATAACTGGTAATCATTATCTTAAACATCATTATGCCTGTCTCCCCAATAGTTTAAGATGGGTTTGCTCTTTGATATGGCAATTTCACTTACAGGAATTTTTTCCGATCAAATTAACTAACTACAGAATGCTTATCACAGCATTGTGCATACTAGCGGCAAACCGAAGACAGTGCGTATGCTCGGCTAGTGGATTGTTTAAATAAATCATGGCCCGTCTTTACAGTGGAATACTACATAGTCGATAAAACAGCATTGTAGATGACTAGTAAGCAGCACGAAACCTTAGATCGTTTCCATTTAAGTGGGTTTTGAAAGAGAAAAGATTGTAAGATCTCATTTTTTGTTGTTGTTGCTAAAACTATAAATGCTTGTAAATATCCAGGCTCGGTTAAAAGTATCTGAAAATGTTTAGTGTTGACTGATTCTATCTGAGGTAGCAGATTATAGACATTTAAATTTTTCTTCAATAAATAAATAAATAAATAAGAGGGGGAAGGTATAGCTCAAGTGGTAGAGCCCATGCTTAGCATGCATGAGGTCCTGGGTTCAATCCACTGTATCGCCTCTAAAAACAGACAAGTAAATAGACCTAATTTACACCCCCACACACACACAAACAAACCTAATTACCCCCCCTGCAATAAATAAATAAATAAGTTTTCTTTTTCCACCTTTTCAAACTTCTTTGCAATGAACTTGGTGTGCTTTTTTTTAATAAGTAAAGTGTAATCAAAGTCATTTATAGAAAGAATTAACTTCAAATTGTGTTCTCACTGTGCCGGGAAGTGGACAGAGTGATTGAAGATTGCTTCCTTCTAGTCCAGGGAGCCTGCCAGTGACAGCCCACTAGCCACATCCATCCAGTGACCTATTTTTGAATGGCCCATGAGCTAAGAATGTTTTTTTGTATTCTTTGAATAATTGGAGGGGAAATCAAAAGCAGTAATACTTTGAGACATAAAAATCATAGGAAATTTGAATTTCGATGTCCATGGTCAAGTTTTATGGGCACACAGCCACCTGCATTGTCACAGATATTGGACAGAGATCATCTGACCTGCAAAGCCAAAAATATTTCCTGTTAGACTCTTGACGGAAAAAAAGGTTTGCTGCCCCTGCTCTAGTTGTCAATCTTGTTCGTTCAGTACTTTTTTTTTTGAGTCCTTTATTTTTTTCCTTCATATTTATGACTCAGAGTCAGATCATGTGCTTCCCCTAAAACTCATATAGGATGGGATGCACCAAGAAACTAAACCACAAAGATTTTCCCCAGTTTTCTCTTTACGCTCCCATTCCTTCAGCTTCCAGTAAGTCTCTCATCCGCTTACAACAGTTTGCCAGAGATGTTCCTGACCTCTTCTTTTTGCCATCCCCAGGGAGATGCTGTCGACACACAGCAGTCCTTACAGAACCCTGGAGAGGCGGCCCCAGGGGGGACGGAGCATGCCCACCACGCCCGTCCTTACCCGCAACGCCTACAGCAGCAGCCACTTGGAGTAAGAGCGCTTCATTCCACTTGCCTTGTCTCTGCTGAGTTTTGCTTGAACCTTTTGTTTTACCTCGCTGTCTTTCTTTGTTGTTTTAAGGGACTTTGTTTTAGGACTCTACATTTTCTAGTCACTTAACAGTTCCCTTATGTCAGCAAAGAAAATGTACTCAAAAAATACACCTTGGGTAGATACTGGATTTTTTTGTGTGTGCCTTAATTTTTCCAACCGGCTTATTACCGGTGGTTATTCGGTGATGAGGGTGAAGTTAATGGCAACAGTGCTACTTTGAAGTGTTTCCTGAAGGCTGTGCAGTTTCATATGCACTGTATTATGTAGCCCCCACAACAAACCTTACTGGAGATATTTGATACTGTTTTTGTCCTCAGTTTTTACAGAGGAGGAAGGGAGAGTGATTAAATATCTTGCCCACGTTCGTACAGCTGGGAAGTGACGGAGCCGTGACTCAGTCCCAGTATCTCGCATGTCAGAGCCCAGACTCCGCCCCCTGCGAATGCTGCCTCTGCCCTAGTCTGGGTGTCCCGCTATCCTGTTGGAAGAGAGGACCCTTCAAAGACATGTGGGGTTTCTCTCAGGCTTTGACTCACGTTGTACATCAGCAGTTTATCTTCCTAATTTCAAAAAAGGATGTGGACTGCCCAGTTGACAGAGCCTGGTGTAAACCCAATGGACTCTGTCGTGTGGTCAGCGTCGGAAACCTTAAAAATCCTATTGCAGGCCAAGAGTTATGAGATCATTTAACTGTGGCGTCCTTTGTCCTTCTCTCGGCCCTCCTCTCCTCCTCTCTCTTTTTACCGCTTTGCCTTTCTTTCTCCTCTTTCAGACCCGAATCTTCATCTCAGCACTGCCGCCAGCGGAGCGGAAGCCTCGAGTCCCAGTCTCACCTGCTCTCCGAGGTGGACAACGACAAGCCATTCTTCTCCCTCTCCAAGTCCCAAAGAAGCAGCAGCACAGAAATCCTGGATGACGGGTCCTCCTACACCAGCCAGTCAAGCACGGAGTATTGCTGCGTGACGCCCGTGGCCGGGCCCTACTACACCGCCCAGACCCTGGACACTCGCTCCAGGGGGCGCCGAAGGTCCAAGAAGCAGAGCGTTTCGGCTTCCAGCTCCGGGAGCATGCCCAACCTGGCGCAGAAGGAGAGCCTGCGGAACGGCGTCCACGCCAGGAGCCAGGAGCCGCCCGCTTCCAGCTGCTACATCGCCGGCTACGCGGCGTACGCGGAGGCTGAGCTCTATTACGGGGGCGGCTACGTCTACGAGAGCGACACGGAGGGGCAGTACAGTGTCAACCCGCCCTACCGCTCCGCCGCCCACTACGGGTACGACCGCCCGAGGGACCACAGCAGGTCCTTCCACGAAGACGAGGTGGACCGGGTGCCGCACAACCCGTACGCCACCCTGCGGCTGCCGAGGAAGGCGGCCGCCAAGTCGGAGCACATCACCAAAAACATCCACAAGGCCTTGGTCGCCGAGCACCTGCGCGGCTGGTACCAGCGGGCCTCCGGGCAGAAGGAGCAGGGCCACAGTGCGCAGACGAGCTTCGACGCGGACAGGGGCTCGCAGAGAAGCCTGGGCTTCGCGGGGCTCCAAGTGCCCTGTTCTCCGAGCAGCCGTGCGTCTTCCTACTCATCAGGTAAGAACACCGCGGAGGCCCTTGCCACCCAGATTTCTTTCACCTCCTAACTCCCCGGCCCCCTTGCCTACCCCAGGCCATGCCCCTCAAGGATCATGAGAGCAGGACCCAAGGTCATGAGAATGGTACCCGCTGGGTGGAGCCACAGACTCAAATCCAGCATTTACTGAGCACCTGCTCTCTGTGCTGCCTGGCATTCGGGGATTTCCTTTATTGTATCTTTTCTAGGTCTCCCATTGACAGCCACATCTCTTTCAAGTGTTCAGGGCATTGAGGGTTTGATATATTCAAAGAAGAGCATAAACCCTTCAGGTGAGCAGAAAACCACTGGAGTCATGCATCCTTTCTGTGTTCACCACCTCTGAACTGGATGATCTAAAGGCAGTTCGTTCCACGTGCTCAGGTCCCTGCCTCAGGCTTCTAGTAAGTCCGACAGGAGCTGGCATTTACTAAGCACTGGTCCTGGCGCTGTTCTAAGTCCTATGTAGATCAGTAGCCATAGGTACTGCCCTTTATGCGTGATTTAAGGAATTTTCCTTCCAAGACCATTTTGATTAGCGATCATCTCTTCATGCGTCAGCTTTGGTCCCTAACTCCGCTAACATTCCTCCAGCTGTGCTAGGTACTTTAAGTAGAGAAATGGGGCCTAAGAGGAGAATCCGCCTGTGGTTTCATTTATTCGTCAAACTAGCAGGCCCATCCAAGATGCTGAGAAGCCAGCATTAAGCCAGTTCCTGACCTTGGTGACTTCACAGACTAGTTAGCAGCTAGAAGGATGTATGAAAATTAAGCAATGGTAAAGCTCTAAGCAACGAATGAATTCTCAAACTGCAAGAAAAACCGAGGTCATGAGTCTTGCCTCCTCTTTCAAGCATGATGCCTTAGTGAGACATAGCACAGAGGTTCCTGAATCATTGTGTGATCGTCACCTTTGAAAGTTTCCTAAGCTTGTTGACAAGAGACGTCTCCATGGAGATTTCTGTTTGGGTTCTAGTTCTCTCCTGCTTGTGCAGGACTTTGGACTCCTGCTAGGGTTTTCCCATTGATTACCACATCTAACATATGAAAAGTCTCCTGTAAATGATTTCTCACTTGTGGCTCTGATTTAGAGAGCACCTTCCTTCCCCTTAAGAGTTCAAGGTGTCGGATGAGAAAATTTCAGAAACCAAACGAGGAGGGCTGGGATGCACATGGATGGTCACTGGGGCACAGGGCTGGGGTAATGCCTCTTTAAACAGCGAGGCCAGGGAGAGGGGGAGGTGTAACTCTGGAACCTCAGCAGTCCTGGTGGTTGGGTCAGGGGCAAAGGTGAGAATGGAGATGCTGCTTCCTGACTGGGACCCAGGGTGAGGGTGTGAGCCTTACTGACACCTGGAGGATACGGCCCCGTGGGCCAAAAGGCATTGCAGTTGAAGGAATTGGAGGGATGGAATCAGTGCTCCCAGAATTCCCTTTTGGAATTTTCCTCATTCCTGCCTACATTTTATAGCTAATGTATTACAACAGGCACGCCTCATTCTCACGCAGAGCTAAGTTTCTGAATATTTGCTGAATTAGTCAGGGGTTTTGTAATCCCTTCCAGCCACCGAAAGGCTCTGTTGGCGACTCTTAGAGTTTTAGTAGTAAGGACAGCTGCTATTTATTGACAACTTACCGTGAGCCACCAGCCCGCTCAGCACTTGTGCATGCACTGTCTCATTTAATGTATACAACAATTCTGTAGCGAGTCCTGTTGTTCTGTTTATTATTATTATCCTAATCCTGCCGTGGAGGCAGTTCTGGCTTGGTTTAAATGACCCTGCCCAAGCTCCAAAGCTAGTAAGGAATTCTAACACAGCTCTGACACCCTAGCCACCATGCCTCACAGCCCCTGACTTAGAGTTATGGAACATTCTTGGAAGCTCAAAGTAAAGAATGTTATATCTTTGAGTCAAAACCTCGTGGCATCCAGGACCGCAGATGAGTTTTGAAATGTGTCTGTCCCACGCTGGTCCCCTGTGCTTTGTGGGTGTGAGAGAAAGTGGAGGAGGTTGGCCACCAGGAAGAGGAAATGGAAGAGAGCTGGAAGAATGCATGAGCAGTACCAGTTGTCTGAGTTTTGGACGACCAGGTTGGCCTGGTACTTCCTAGGCATGGAGCAGGACTGATTTTAGAGAGAGGACAGCAAACGTCCAGTGATGGGGCAGTCACTGGGTTTTGCTCCCAAATTATGCCCTTGTCTTGTTCCAGATTAGTCCCTCAAAAAAACTAAATCTCTTCCTGAAAATCTTTCCTATACTAGTTACCCTCTCTCATCCCCACCCACCTCTCCGACATAGACTTTTTTTTTAGGCAAAAAATATGCCCTGATCCTATTAGTGCCTTTGGCTGAGGAATAGGCAAGTCTCAACAAGTCAACATACAGGATGTTTTTCCTCCAAAGGTCTCCAAGAAACTCAGACTTGTCACCTTCTCTTTATGATGGAAGCCTCTGAAGCTATCCAGCCACCATAGCCTGATATGGGGAAGATGCTTTCCATATATGAGGATTTTTTTTTTCTGGCTTGTTTTTGGGGTTATTTTTTTACAGCATGTCTTTCCATTAGCTTTATTCCCATTTATAATAATAATGATAGTTATCATTTATTGCTAGGCACAGGGCTAAATATTTTTGTATATTACTTTAATCCCAATATCATCCCTATACAGAATATATTATTATTCCCACTTTACAGATGAGATAACTGAGGCTTAGAATAGGAACTCTGTGGATTCTAAGCATTGGTTCTTAATCTCTACTCTGCACACAGCTGATTATAATGCACATCTAAATGACTTAAACAATTTTCACTCTGTGTATTCCCACCAGTTGTGTCTCTTTTCTTTTTTTATTTCTAGTGTCTTCTACAAATGCTTCTGGGAACTGGAGGACCCAGATAACCTTAGGGTTATCTGAATACGAGACCCCGGCACATTCTTCTTACACCAGCTGCTATGGCAACATCTATAATCCTTTGCCCTCTCCAGGCAGGTGAGAAAGCAATGCTCAAAAATTCTGCTACCCTGTTGCTAGTCAAAAGAATTCAGAAATCCCATTTTTTAAAAAAATAATTCTTATTTTGTATTGAAGTGTAGTTGATTTACAATGTTA